TGCGTGTGTTGTGCAATAATTATTTATCCTTAGTAAAAACTCACAATGTTCTTGGTTTGATTTTCAGGAAGTAAGGTTTTTTCCTTTTAATCGGATTTAGGCTATGTTTGCCTTTTCGGCTAGGGCAATAAAAATTTTTCCTAGTTCCATAATTATTTTGCTATGTATTACTAACAGTTAGTGACTCCGCAGTTGTAGGATTTGTATACTTTAATCGTTTATTATTATAACAGATGTGATGCAATTGTTATTGGTCCGATCTGTGGAAAATGTTTGTAACTGAAATAAATTTGGGCCGAAATTTAATAGAAATCTTGAGTTTATTTTTCTATAAATATAGGCCTGATGTTTTAAATATTATATTGAAATCATAGATATTAGTGATTTAGGCTTACTACGGGCCTCGGGGGCCTTAAGCTTACCTGGGCCCTAGTACCGGTCCGGCCCATGGAGACGGGTCGTGACAATTATAAACTTTGTTTATTTATGCATATGTCAATATATTGATCCTTTTGCAAGAATTTGGAAATAAATTATTTTTCTTATTTTTTTATATTAATAAATATAATATATTGGATATTTGACTTCTTGAAAAAAATTATTAATTATGATAAAAATAATATTTTTATTTTTTTTAACATTATATAACATTCGCAAGCGAAGCTCGAGAAGACCAATGCATACTTTAGAAATATAGTTTTCCAATGAAAATTTTTAATTAAAAAATAGACCAATCCATCTTGAATAGCATTATCATAAAATATCTTAAAAAAATGGAACCTCTAATTAAAAAATTTTTTATTTTATTTATGGATTAAAGTATATAATAATTTTAATTAAATTGATTATATTAGTTTCCTTAATCATATTATTCTTATTAATTAACAAATCTCGTTTCATTATTTTTCCGTTGCTAAGAGGTGATAAAGGGTTCTACAAACGTGTTAGAAAAGGAATTGTTATCCGTTTCTAAAGTTATAACACAAATAGATTTTTTCTTTGGTCGCTGAGAGTCTAGAATAGGGGTTAGCAATGGAATTTTTACCGTCTAAAGTTATAACCAAAATTTACTAAGCTATTTTCACTGCATATATCTCTTCTCCATATCTTTTGGTATGCTTGTACTTCCTTTTCTCTTCTCTTCCTCCCTTTTATTTTATATTTTATCATTAAAAGTTTAAATTTTAGTTTGATTGCAAGATTAATATTTATCATGATAATATTTTTAGTTTCAAGTATTTCGATGGAAGTAAGATAGCGGTAGGAATTTCAATATTCAAATTATAATATAATAAATCATAATTTTAAACTTTTTTTAATGTTTCTTTAAGCTTTGGCACATTAAGGACCACATTTTATTTTTTTTACTCTACCTTTATATATATAAATATAAATTTATGTATGGCACAAATTCACTATCTTGAATAATAAGTGCAAATATCATATTGAGTCCTCCCTAAATTGCTAGAATATTATCATTAAACAATAATTAAAACTCTTACTGGATACAACAAAGAACTATAACTCACTTGCCAAAATATTATTACCTTTAAATCTAAAATAGTAGATTTGCTAACTAAAATGCAAAAAGCTATTAAAAAACCAACTTGGTTTGGAAAATATCATTTGTCTTTTCCTATTTTACTCTAATAATAATAATAATAATAATATTTTTAGTGGACTCACATTCATTTGAGTATCATGTGTATTATTTTTCACGTATAAGAGTTGTCTATATTAGGTATATGGCCCATCCATACACCAAGTAAATTTGCAAATGTCTTGTCTTTAAACAATTATTATTTTATCTTTTTTTCCCATGAATAGTCAAAAATATTTTCATTTGAACCAACAAATTATTTTTGATTGACTTAATATATAGATGACCCTGTATACTCGATGTATGTAACTCTTTCTTTTTCATATATAGCTATTCTCCGTTATGGATTGCTCATACAAGCTTATAGTTTATGGTTGTATTAAACTTATAAATCCGCTTAAATTATAGCATTATAATAATATCATTTTCTAAATATATATATGTGTGTGTGGAGACTTCTAAAGGAAATATTAAACTTCTTAATATGGTTTAAGCTTTGGCTTCTTGAGAATAACTTTTTAATTTCTTACATCACATTAACATATATAAATATAAAAATTCACATATGGCACAAATTCATACCTTAAATAACAAGTGGCATATACCATATTGGTGCACCCCAAATTATTAGAACAATATCATTCAATAATAATAAAATACATTACCTTATATAGCAAATAACTATAATTCACGTACCAAAATACGGTCAACTTCCAATCTAAACAATTAGATTTGTTAATCTTTTTTTTTTTTTTTTTTAAAAATACTTGATAATTCATTAATCATGAATATAAGTTGAGCACATCCTAAAATTCACATAAAAATAAGAAATACAAGCATAGAAAATTGAAATTTTCTATTTAGAGATGATATTCACAGAAGATGTTAACTTTTCGGGTAAAGCTTGGTCTATTTTTAAATAAAACGATAAAAGAAACTTCTACAATATTATTCGAATATTATTTTTCAGAATATTAGAATTGACATACATAGAAGAGTTTAATATATCAAACTTTTACTAGAGAAACATGTCAAATTACCAGGCTCTATTGGTAGAACAAAACTTACTTGAAAACTTGAAGATCCAAAATCTCCAACTACAAGCAATCAACAATCCATTTTATATTTCGAACTGCGAGAGAAATAAAAGATCCATATAAAAGACTCCTCAATAACGAGAAACAATCCCATAAAATGAGAGAAATTAATAACCCCACTAAGATGGTACCAAAAACATTTAAGGTTTATTAACTATTACAAATCTGAGAGACTGAATTTAATTTTTTTTCCAAATGATCATAAGTTTGAAAATTATTAAAAAGAAATAAAGAAAAACGATAGAAATAGACAAAAGAAACCACTGCCAATTAAAGAAGACGGTTGGCGGTGGTTTAGAAAATAAAACCTAGAAGAATACAAAAAAAGAGAGAGTGAAAGAGAGGTGGCTAACCCTAATTGAGTATATTTTGTTTTTATTAGATTTGTTAATTTAAATGCATAAGGCTATTAAAAATCCAATTTAGTTTTCAGAATATCATTAGTCCTTTCCCATTTTCATGCTAATAATAATAATAATAATAATAATAATAATAATAGTAATAGTAATTTAAATGACCCTCAAATACATCAAACAAATCTATATATGGCTTTTTTTTTACAAAAATTATTATTTATCCTTTTTGTCCGGTGAATAGTCAAAAATTCTCTCATTTGAACCATAAAATTATTATTTATTTATTTATTTAGTGTATAAATAGCCTCGTATACATGATGTAGGTAGCTCTTTTTGCTTTCATGTACAACTATTTTCATATGCATCAGCATTTCTTGCTTTATGAGCCTTAATCTAACTGATAATAGAGCAAAAGAGAAAAGTTATTAGCTATAACTAGCAAAAGAAAAAATGATAAAAATAAAGGTTAAGCTAGTTTGGTAATGAACGATGCACTTGAATCAAGAAAATATATATCTATATTGTGTGTGTGTGAAACCATTGCTTCATTTTGTGGATTCTTCATAATAAATAAAAATATTATTTATTCCTTTCAATACTTCACATTAACTATTAGACAGTACAAGGAGCTTATTGTGTTGAACTAAAACTACCAATTGGCATTGTGGTTTCAATGCAATAATTTTCTTTTTATGATAGTAGAAACAATAGATTTGTAAATATTTCAATTTCACATCAAATTGATAAATAATTTTTTTAAAAACATGATTTTTGTCATTATCTCCATTTTAGGAGCCCTCGTGGGCTTGTAGTTTATAGTTGTATTAAAATTTTAAATCTGCTAGAGTTATAACATTAGAATAATATCATTCTCTGAAAAAAAGAATCTTAAAAAAATTTAAGACTTTTAAAGGAAATAATAATTTTTTTTAGTATTAGTTTTTTTAGAATAAATTAAATTAGAAATTCCATTAAGATGAAACTGTATACAAATATGTATTATATATCAATATATTTCTATATACAAAATATGAGATATAGATTAATATATCTCTATATTTTTTGTATAGGAAGTCTAATAATAAACCACTTATACAAAAAATTAAAAAACACAATCTTCATATGAAATATTTGATCGAATTGACTGAGAATAAAATATGTGTCATAGGCGATCGTTTACTCCACTTGGTAGCTATTCATGGCCACCATTTAATCTCATGGTCTTTCTACAACTCCAAACCGATCATTTTCAATTTTTTTTTCCCTTCTATTAAAGAGGAGATATGCACTTATTTTTTTATAGCTGCTTATATAGTAAATACCATAGATGATATCGCATAATGGTAATAATAATAACTCAGAATTAGATCTGAAAATAAAATTTTAAGGATTGAACAACAATAAATTTTTTAATATTAGTTTTGGTTTTGGCCTTGAGGATCACTTATTTTTTATATTACATCTGCATATACAAATCTAAATTCGCATTCACAAATTTACCCATTGAACAACAAGTGGCATATATCATATTAATCCATCCTAAATTGTTAAAATAATATCATCAGATAACAATGAATCTTACCATATACAGCAAACCACTATAACTTACTTACCAAAATACCATTATATTCGAATCCAAACAGGTAGATTTGTTAACCTAAATACAAAAGGCCATTAAAAAACCAATTTGATTTTGAAAATATAATTTGTCCTTTTCCATTTTTGCCTTAATAATAATAACAACATTTTAAGTGGCCCTCACACAAATTTGAGTATACTATATACTATTTTCTATATAAGAATTATATATACCTGATGTATAGGTCTTCTTATACACCAAGCAAATCTATAAATGGTAAATAAATTTTAATAATTTGTCTTTTTTAGTGAATGATCAAAATACCCTCATTTAAACCAAAAAAATTATTTTTCATTGATTGGGTGTTTAGATAGTGTTGTACACAGGAAGTAGGTAATCCTATCCCTTTTATGTACAACTATTTTCATAGACATCACTCTTTCTTGCTATATATATTCCTGAATCTAGTTGAGTGCAGAGCAAAAGAGAAAGAGTTACTAGCTATAGCAAGCAAAAGCAAAAATGACAAGAAAAAAGGTTAAGCTAGTTTGGATAGTGAATGATGCAGCAAGAAAAGCCAGTCTTAAAAAAAGGAGAATAGGGTTATTGAAGAAAGTGAGTGAACTAACAACCTTATGTGGTGTTAGTGCATTTGTTATCATCTATAGCCCAGATGAGACTGAACCAATGATATGGCCGTCACGACCACTGGTGGAACAACTACTGATGAGATATCAAAACATACCGGAAATTGAACGGTGCAAAAAGATGATGAATCAAGAAAGTTACTTAAAAGAAAGAGTGGCCAAAGTGCATGAACAATCAAGAAAGAATCAAAGAAAGAATAGAGAGGTGGAGATGAGTTATCTAATGGATAAACTTCATAAAGGTAATGGAGCTGACGATTTTGAGTTTAATGAGTTGCAGGTTTTGATTTGGTTACTAGAAGAGAAAATGAAAGATTTAAGAAAAAGAGTGGAGTATTTTCAACAAGTTCCTCCGCTTCCACCTACAACCTCTTTTTTTCCTCCTCTTCCACCTCCTAATGAGGGCCCTACTATGCAAGAAACAGGCCACAAATTAACCACTACCGCTGGTGCTGCTGCTGGTGGTGGTTCTGGTGGTGGTGGTGGTGGTGGTGGTGTTGATGCTGTTGGTGTTGTTGCTGATGATGGTGGAGGTGGTGGAGATATCAGAAATAGTAATCTTGGAGATACTATGACATGGGATCAATGGTATCTTGATATTATTAACAATAACGATGATAACCTTGCTGGCGGTACTAAGAATAATATGATGGCCCATCACCCATATGGCTATAATATCACCCTCACTGGTGGTGATATAGGGTTTCCTACTGGGTCCACTGGTAATATTTTCAGCCTAAGTCTCCCTTCGAGTAATATGAATATAGGTGGTGGTGGAAATCATTTTGAGATGGGCCAACAGTCTTTTCATAGTATTATTAACTCTGTAAGTGGACACCCTTTTAGGTTAGGGTTGCAGCCTTATCAGGGTAACGTTGATGGTAATAATGGTGGAAATGGCATAGGACTAGGGATGCCGCCTCTGGCTACTGAAATCGAAGCCAGTGACCCAGGGATGCAAGGACATTTCGCCGGTGGAAGTGACATAGGACCGCCATATGATGTTACTAAACCTTGGTATCATAATTTCGCCCCTTGAATATTATTATCTAGCCTTTGTCAATTTGAATTTTATATTTATCTTTTTCTTTTTAGTATTAAAAAAGGGGAATCAAATCTAGATCTATTGTCAGATTGCACTTACTATTAGGCTATGCCTTGGTGTGCTATATTTATCTTATTTCAATATGTGTTTTTATTTTGTGAGTCTCTGCTTAATCTATGTTTCCTTCAAATTGAGTCATCTTGGAATAATTTATATGTTAATCTGATTTTGTTGGCTTAGTTAATAAAATGCTATGTTTCTTTTGTTTATATTATTTGGTTAGCTCTTTCCAAGAAAATAAACAAAACAAAGATACTAAATTTTGGATCATCATACTAATTATAAACTGAATACTCCACAAGTCAATCATGTAATCACCAGAATGAGATCTAACACGCTTCAATCACTAAACTAAGCTATCTTGAGTCATAAACTGAAATATTAATTAATCACTATATACTAATCTTACTCAGTTATCTCTTGGACATGGATAGATTAGTGTATATTTGCAAGTATAACTATATGGACATTAATCCTTAGGTATCTCTCTAATATTACTTCTTCATAGATACTTCATTGGTCGCATAATTTTTTGTTTTATTTTCCTTTTTTATTTGTCCCAAATTGCTTTTCTTTCTTTTTTTTTTTTTTTAGAAATGAATAATATTTAAAGTTTACTATGTAGTCCTTATTTATATGATTCTTTGTCAATAAATATAATAGTCACACTACTACATTATCATTAATTAAACCTTGATATAAATAAAATTAAAATATCAATTTTTAATCTTCCAAGAAAAACTATTTTAATCAAATATTTGAGTATAGTTTAATTAATTGTAAGAATAATTTATCATGAATAATCTAAATTTACTGGAATATAGGCAACAATGTATATTAGGAAAAATAAAATAAAATAAAAATTATAGTTTTACTATACTAACTAAATTTTTTTAATCGGTATGCACGGAAAATTAGATAAAAATTATGAGACGGAGAGTGTATATATACAAAACAACATAGACTAGAATATATTGGAAATATTAGGCCAACAAATGGTATATTAGGAAAAATAAAATAAAATAAAAATTAATAGTTTTACTATAACTAACTAAATTTTTTTAAATCGTATGCCACGGAAAATTAGAATAAAAATTATGAGACGGAGAAGTGTAATATATACAAAAACAACATAAGACTAGAACATATATATAATATATATATACTATATACTATATATTATATATATATATATATATATATATATATAATTTAATAGGCATATATATATTAATAGGCAGATTATGGATTCATGTTTTGGGACTATTGCTTAATTATATGAGAACATCGGATTCTACTAGTTCTATATAAATATATACTTGCCCTTTGAAAAGGAAAAAATTTTTTTTGAGAAATATATGAGGAAAATATTAAAAAAAACAAATTTTCCTTATTTGAAAAGTGAAAAGTGATGAAAATATCAAAGGAAAAAAAATATGTATCATCTCTTTTCAGAATTATAAAATTAAAATTTCTCTAAATCGAAGAGAAAAATGACAATAAATTGAGAAAATTATATTATTTAATGTGAAATTGATTTTATTATTTTTCTTCCTATATTTTTCTTTCCTCCAATAACTGATTTCCTCTCCTTGGTATAGACTAGTGTGGAGTTTCACTCCAATTACTCAAAATAAATTCTTTTTTTTTTTAATTAAAACAGATTTAGGTGGCATTTTCCTTCTATGATCGCCAATAATTTCTCTAATAAATTATATATGATCCGTTTGTCATTTATCTATTGGATCAATAGATTGTTTAAATTTTTTTTACTGAGATATATATTAATATTGTTGCCAAATTAATCAACAAATAGTTTAACTTGGTTTTTTTTTATGATTTTTTAATTAAGTGTGTACTGTTTATACATTAATATTTGAATATTTATACTAACTAGATTTCTAGAACATGCGTTGCAAATTTATATTCATTGGTTTTTCATGTTGGAAGTAAATGTAATTTTATTTATATATAATTTTTTATTATAAATTATAATGTTATGAATTTAAGAACATTCTCAAAATAAAAAAAAAGAATACTTTATTAAATAATAAAATAAAATATTAAATAATTAAATATCTATTAAGGAAATAACATATTTATAATAATAAAACATTATTACAATTTGAAAATCAAATTTTCATGAAAATAAAACTATTTATCAATCAATTTAAATTTTTTTATAACAATTTAAATTGGATTAACTTATTTTTTTTGCATATAATAATCTATCTATATTATGAAAATATGAGAAACAATATTAATTATTATAATATATTGGTGTTCTTTGGTATTCTTTTTTTCCTTTTTTACTTTTAGCTAACATCTATGAATATATAATTAAGCTTATAGATGTTTTATTTTTTTTAGAAAAAAATTCTTAGATTTTATTATATGGTTTGCTGATATAACGTGTTATATCATAATTTTATAATTTATATATATATTTTAATGATTTTTATTTTTCAATTTATATCAAATAATAAATTTTATAATATAAATAATAAATTTTATAATATATTTCTTAATAAAGACCTAATTATTGAATAAGTTAACTTGTAGAAAAAAAAATAAATTATAATAAATTAAATTAAAATTTTATTAAAAAATTATAATTAAAAATATTATATGCTTCTAAATTAAATTGTGCCTTATAAAAGTATAACATAATCAAATCAAAAATTAATTTACCTTTTAATTTTGAACCAATTAAAATTAAAAATCCTTAAAAATATTATATTCTTAAGATATTTAGTATACACCCTTATTCAATATATAATATATTTCTTAGTTATCTAATTAAAATTTAAATTTTAAATATAATTTAAATTTAAATATAAAATTAATACACCAATTAAAATTAAATAATATTTTTTTAACTAATAATATTAAAATCCTAAAAGATATTACGTTCTTATCATATTTAATATATGTACATACCTTATATAATATATAATATTTAGTTTACCAATTGTTTTAGATTGAATAGGAAATTAATATAATCAATGAAAGTTAAATTATCTTTATTTTCTTGACCAATATAATTACAATCCTTTAAGATATTTTTGCCAATTCACAAATTTAGTAGAGGCATTTTTGGCAACGTCAATATTTCCCTCCCTATTCCACTTTTATATATATCATAGATAAATAGATTATAATTAATTAACCAATTCAATTATCACTTTTATATGTATTAGTTTCTTTATGACGTGCATCACACAAGTTATTATGTTTTTATATAATATTAAGTATTGAACTATTGATTTATAATTTTTCTCTTAAATTGTCTAGATTTTATAAAATTAAAATATAATTTTGTATTGAGATTAACATGAATATTATGGCTAATTAATAAAATCATAGTCAAAATATTTTATTTGTATATAGTTCAATTCAATTTACATATTATTATTTATCCAAAATAGACTCTAGCTGTGTACAACCCACGAATATCATCTAATAAACACATTTCAATATATGTATATATATAATTGTTTCCGCTAAAATATTTAGGCAAATATGAATAGATTTTAGGCAAATATGCACAAAATAAATCAAACTAAATTGAATTTTCAAAGTAAAAATAAACTAAAATCCAATAGAATAGATATACTTTTATCTTAGTTCATTTAAGATTTTCTCTAGAACTTCACTAAAAATCAAGGCCGATTTAAAAAAAAAATTTCAGTTTGTCAATACAAAATGAAAACCAATCTAAATCGGTTTATATATAAACCAATCTAAATCGGGTTTATATATATATATATATAATATATATATATATATTATTCCGCTTCCCTTTTTATTTTGTTTCTCTTGCTAATTTATAGTTATCATAGGAGCTAGATGACTTAAAGCATTCAAAGCATACATATATTTAATTTTTAGAAAATTATTAAAATTAATATATTCAAAGGGGAAAAAAATATTAAATTTCATATAAAACATTATAAATTAAAATAAATTAAATATTTTTATTTTATAAGTTTTATTTTACCTTTATTAACATAATCTAATTATTTCTATGGATATTAGAAAAAATAAAAAAAATACGCATATTCCCTTTCCATAATAATAAAAAAAAAAAAGAGAGAGAAAATATTAGGAAAGAGAAAATGCAAAATTAATTAAACTTTTTGGAGACACCACTTTCATCGTGAAATTGGGTTATTTTCTTTTATAAAAAAAGTAAAAATAAATAAATAAATATACACTAATAATATTTTAATATTTTCAATTAAAATTTTTTAATTGGTCACTAATAATATTTTAGGTATAAAATCTAATATCACTAAGGATAATAGATTAATTAAGAAACTCTTTTTTTTTTTTTTTTTTTTTTTTTTTTTTTTTTTGTTGAAAGTTTACAAGTTGTACCTTGATCAAGTCTTATATTTTAAAACTAAAACCATTTTATGTTTTTTTTTTTTTTTTTTTTTTTGTTGAAAAGTTACAAGTTGTACCTTGTCAAGTCTTATAATTTTAACTAAACATTTTATGGCAAACCAATGTGGATAACATACCTCCTCATGCTTGGGCATAAATATCTGAAATGTGAAGTTTCCATGCAAAATACATCTTCAGTGGTCCAACATTAAAATTGAGTAAGCTCTGATATCATATTCATAAAAATAACTAAGTTTAACTCGCTCTTCAAAAGTTAATTTAATAGTTTGAAGATTGTCCTTTTTTTTTTTTTTTTCTTTATTAAACATCTTATTGCAAATCAATGCAGATAGCAAACGCGACAAATCTAAGAATAAAACATACCAAACGATAGGAAATAAATAAAAACTTGAAAAAATCTCGAAATTATTTGAAGAATATAAAAAAATTGCAAAAAATATATATATATAAATCATTAAATCCATTCAAAAATATATATTATCGGGCTAAACTCGGTTACTGTACAAAATTGGTGCTAGGCCTGAGACGCCAGACAGCACACGCCCAATCTACAATCGTCGTGTCCGGCCCAAGTAAAAGAAATTTTTTGTTTCTTTTCTTTTTCTTTTTCATTAATAATTCCAAATTATTATCTTTTCTTCTTTTATTAATACCATCATATCTCGTTTTTAAATTAACCGCTGAAGACAGTTAAACGGAATTTTTCTTTTTCTTTTTTTTATAAAAGGATGTGCATGCTTGTTTAGTTTAAACGTAACCTTTTTGTTTCTTGCTATTAAAATCATCTCAAAAGCAATGAAATCACGACAACTCAATACTAATTAATCAATAAAATAAAAATAAAAATAAAGGAAAATCCTAACCTAAAACCCCATTAAAGGAAAATATTTGGAAAAGCAAATAAAAAAAAAAGGGACAAAAACGTTCAATAAGGTAAAAGGCATGGCATCATCAAGGGCTACAACTATAGCAATCCCTTTTCATGTATAATCAATTTAAATAACAAATAATCAATCGCATGCACAAATTTACACAACTGCAAAGACAGTTACATGCACGGTAGAGATGCATCCATCGGAAAAGCGCGTAGAGGTCTTTCACAACGGGGAAAATTACAACAAATCAGGAACAAAAATTCTACAACTCGGCCGAAGCACAATTAGAAGATCTTATTATACTGGTCAGTGAGAGAATTCTTGAGATTTGAGTAAAGGCCATAAAGTGAGTACTGTCTGAGGTTTTCTACTTCATACCATGAGTTGAGAACTGCAAGGTGCTTATCTGTGCCAGAGAATGCCAATTGGATACCGAGGCTGCAATCTACTGTACCTCCATGGTTTTTGCAACTGTTTGTTCTGATTGCACAGTCTTGATTGTTAAGACAGACGAAGTTGTTGGTTCCCGTGCATTTAGCACATCCATCTCTTTTCCAGTACAAGTTTTGCAACCTGCCTTTCTTAAACTCAAGCGCCTGTAGTTTAAAAATAAATGATTAAGAAAAACTAATGGATCCTTATCAATGTTACAAAAGCAAAAATGGTATCAGAGTGGTTTCTGAATCTCTCTTACAAGAGTAAAGCTGGTCACAGTGTATGTAGAATTTGCTACAAAAGCAGGAAGTGACCTTGCAGCATATTTTCTGCCAGCAAATGCAACCATATATCCACCGTAATTGTCCTGAAGACAACAATAATATGACGAGTTAATTACGTTAATTACATACAATAAGCACAGTTATACCTTCACCTGTAAATGGATACACAAACATGTGTGCAACTTGCAACCTACCTAAATAGAAAATAAAAGGATATGGATCCAAATTTAAATATGAGTTCTCGGATACTATGTAAATAAAATAAAATAAAACTACATAGCAATAACAAAATAAAATTATGTAATAATAACTATTTTCTAGACAGATCATCAATATACCTATTAAAATCTTCAAGACTTCCTCTGCATTGAAGATAATCTAGTATACTACTATATAGATTATATAATGTCAAGTCATCTCCAAAAGATAGTTATCAAAGATAGCCATCTCTAAAAGATAGTTATCAAAGATAGCCATCTCTAAAAGATAATTTATGTTGAATAATTATGTCACTTAAAAAAATAATTATGTTGATAATTATGCTGGATAAGCAGTAAGCACTCTCTTAATCTTGATTCCATGCCGTATCCTGTGTTGTCTCCTGTTGAAACAGGCATTGCATGGCAAATCGTCTACACTCTTGTGGATTGATGTTCCTCAAATCAAACCTATGGAATAAAAAATCTATGCATTGTGAACAGAATTTCACATTTAATCGTTTAGTTGGAAAACTAAATCCATAAATTTAAAGAGTATTTTGGGAATAGAACTAAGTGGTTTAAATTATATCATTACTAATAAATAAACAAAAACCGATGGAATTGAGAAAATCTCACTTATGAGGTGAGGTTTCTCTCTCGCAATTTTTTTCCTAGATAAACTATGGAATCTGATAAATCCATGAAATGCTTAAATTCCATCATTCAAATTTCATCAATCCAAATGACCACTTTTGTGCAATCCCACTTGTTTTTATTGAGATTAAACCCATGGAATTGAAGGATATATTTCTTTAATAAAAAAAATTCCAGAATCATTCATCCATTAAATGAGGACTTGGCATCCATCAATGGATTTTACTTGGTGCGGAGCTAAACGAGGAATATGTACCAATTGTGACTTAATTATATTTACAACATCTATATAGACAAAAGAATGAATAAAATCACCAACAACCATAGCACCGTGGTTCCCTTTTGGACTATTTAAATTTTTGTTGAATTTGACCTAATGTGAACAGGATAGCATATCTGTTAAATTTAAATAACAACAAATTGACACTTATTCTCTAAGGGTAAGCAAATCAGAGTTATTTCCAAGCTTGATAGGATAAGAGCACTCTAACATGAACAGGATTTAAAAGTATGGCAACTAGTAGGCTACAATTTTCTTCACCAGGCTGCATTGCATGAATATGGATCGAATAATAAAATTGGGTGTACATTTAGAGATCGAGAAAATTGCCTTTCACTCTTTATTTTCTGTGAACGATCTTGTAGGTTGGGTAGATTTTGCTATTTCTTTCCTACATTTGGACTTTTTGGGCTCCTAAATTTTTGGGGCATCTCCACAAATATATACCATCTAATCCAACCCCACCCTGCCTCGTATTTTGCCAGAATGGTATTCCCAACCATGCTATTCTTTCCAATATACCTGACATGCGTAACCCCAATAGCACCAGCTTTCATATGCTTGTCGCCTCATTCTAAAATTATTTATTTGGGTAATTCTAGCTTTCACTCAATTCACCAAGGAACGTTTTGGTTGCATTTGGCAGTTTGCTCGCTACTAGGTTGGATTAGATGTCAACCTGTGAAGGCATTATATATTACTATTGGACAAATATCTCCTGTTGTTTCCCTCTTCTAGTTTGCCATAATGTCCACTCTGGGACAAGTTGGAAAGGAATTCCTAATTCTTACATAGTTGAGAGAAGTTACTTTCGCTATCTGGATGATCCATCATCATGCCGGTAATGAATGCAAACTAGCCACATGATTATCCCTTGAGTCTTAACTAGATGCAGTATTAAAGTTACCTTGAGAACTCATTCTAGAGTCGGGACATCCACTAACAAAAGGCATAAGTTCACCAATATATAAATATTAGTTCTAGGATTGCCCCTATTATCATAATTTTCTATTTACTCAAAAGTACTAGATGAATGCACTAAACTTCTGCTGGAAGCAAGCAGATCAAGTCAACATGTTTAGCTACTTTAGCATGTCATAGAAGGCCTTACTCTTGGAACACCGAGGGCATGAGTTTAGCTACTTTGCAGGTTCGATATTTAGAGGTTTTAGCAGCATAGGCGTACCACATTTGAGAATTTTAAAACCATGGTCCTCTTATAAACTAGAAGCAAAATAGGTTAAAGCAATAATCCAACAGAGAAGCTGAATTGGTTCCTTATTCTATATCGAAATACCAAATTTAGTCTAAAGCTATTCATTAGAAAGAGCAACTTATTCCCTATTGAATTATTGAACTACTGTGTTTACTAAAGCCATGTTTCTCATTTCCCCAAAGAAATAGAAGCAAAAACTGCATTTCTAGCTGTTATTCATAAAAATTATTAAATTTTGATCTATTGTTCTATCCAAAACCATGAATCCCATCTTAAAACAACGTATATAATGAAAAACCCCAAAATTGAACCAAATTGACTTCAAAGTTGAATACAAGTCAAATCCGCTAATACACCAAATCAACTGGTAAAAAATATCAAAATTAGTGAACTGAACGAACCGTATAGAGATAATAGAGAGAAAGATGAAGTAAACTAACCGGAGAGAAGGAAGAGGTGTTGATGGTGAGGAGAGAGATCTCGTCGACTTTAGGTCTAAAAACGGAGATCTGAGAATTCTGGCTAGATAGAGAGAGCCTAGAGTCACAAGGAGATAACTGAAGGCTGCCATTGTTGTTGTAGAAGAAGGCAGTCCTCGACGCAAATGCGATGGCGAACGTAAAACCATCTGATCTCTGTACTTTAGCATCTGCACATGGGTTGTAGACATGGTTCGTGTTGTCGGATTCCACCAGCAACAGCGATGAGGCCACCACTAAAAGGACGAAAAGTAGATGCTCAGTTATCGCAGTTGCTGCCATTGTTATCGAGCTTTCTTTATTTTGACTTGACAGACAGTAGACGACCTTCTCTGGGAAGCAAAAAGAAATAATCGTCTTCGTGAACGACGAGACCCATAAGCCCACTAGAAGGGCTGAAATCAGTTATTGATATCAATGGACATGAACGAAATGAAAGAGCCCAACGTTTCTGAGGCCCGTGATTTATTTATCACAATAAACTTTATAATTTTACTTAATTCACTTTTTTTTTTAGTATAACATATATTAAATTACGAGTATGAACAAGTATACACGTGTCCTTTAAAACTAGCTATATTATAAAATTATCCATCCAGTAACTAATAAAATTACTCTTTACTCCAAAATCTATTATCATGAAGAGGTACTTAGTACTATCCCTAAGGGGTATCTGGAGGAAACCACACCAGAAAAGGTTTAAAGAGGAAGGATCACCCCTAAATTGAAGCAGGAGCATAATCCAATTGCAAACCTGCAGCATGACAAAGTTAACAACTGTAATTAAATGATTATGGTTAGAGCAAGTTACCAACCACCTAATATATTTTTCTTTTTCAACAGATAATGACTTCTCAAACGCAAATGGGTCTATCTACATCAATTTCACACGACACAACTACATACACACAAGCACAACAATAATCATTTGACTCTGCAAACCCAAACCCTATCCAGCAATGAAACAATAACAAGAATCCTTCAATTATTGTGTATATGTTATGTGTTAGGTGTTAACTGCTTGCACCAACTTTCCTTCTTGCTTATATATATATATATATATATATAATCCTTCAAATATTGTGTATAATGTTATGTGTTAGGTGTTAACTAATCTGCCTTGCACCCCACTTCCTTCTTGCTTAATATATATATATATATATATATATATATAATATATTTATTTCCATTTGGCAGGAAGAGAAGTTCCTGTATATATATATATATATATATATCCATTTTGGCAGGAAGAAGAAGTTCCTGTGGGAAGAAAATATATGTCTTGAATAAAATAGGATCATAACTATCAATTTTTTGGTAATGCATGGATCGTGCGTTGCACGCAGAGATAATAAAAATAATTAAAGATCTAAGTAAGAGATGCTTACTTATTTAGTTGAAAGAAAGACGTTACTATAAGGATATGATAACCGTTGACATCTTAAATAATACCTCAAGCCAGATATACCCCATAACATTTGTGAAAATCACATGCATTGCCTCATTTGTCTATTTTTCTATTTATTGTTTTTTAAAGTGCTCTTTGTGCACTTTATTCATCTCTCTTAAGTTTGATTTAATTAGTAGGGTAAATTTGTTTCCAAAATTTGTTCATTGTAGTTTTTCTATTTTAAAATTCACTTTATTAATCTCGTTTTGGGGTTAATAGTTGTCTCTTTTCGTAATAATTTTATTAGAATATGTTGAAAAATTTTAGCTCTATAAGTTTTAAATTTTAAACTTCCGATTTTAAACTTAAAAATATCACATAAAGATATAGTTCTTATTCAATTTTTTTTTTGTTAGTTATACTGTTGTGGTGAGTTGAATCTTAATTATTAATAAAATGGATAGCAAATTCACTTTTAAACTAAGAAATCATTTGGATTTTACATCTATTTTACTTTAAGAACCCCAAATGCATGTCTCCCTTAATTAAAACTCCACCAAGTTTTCTTTATCTATTGATCCCAATTCAAGTTAAGCGTTGACTTTTTATGAGACTTTGAACATCCTTATTAATATTATTATTTTTCACTTCTCTTAATTTCCCACAGCTATGGCTGACCATACCATTTCTTCATCAATCTCCAATTCCACTTCTTTTTCTACAATCTCCAATTCTTTGTTGACAAGATCATGAATAACACAACATCAGAAGTTCCTAATGGAGGAGGCTTTCTTGGTTCCAACAGCATAAGTGGATTTGGTTATGGCATAGGAGTTTCTATTGGAATCCTTTTACTTATCACAACAATAACCTTAGCTTCTTACTTCTGCACAAGACAACAGCAGCAGCAACCGTCGTCCACGGCAAGCCGGAGAGGGAATAATACAGAAGATCAGCCACCGGAGTTACAAAACATTGTTGTTGAAGTAGGGCTTGATGAAGCTACTTTAAAAAGTTATCCCAAGTTATTATATTCTGAAGCCAAGATTCAGAAAAAAGACTCTACTGCTTCTTGTTGCTCTATATGTTTAGCAGATTACAAGTCTACTGATATGCTCCGCCTGTTGCCAGACTGCGGCCATCTCTTCCACCTCAAGTGTGTCGACCAATGGCTGCGCCGCCACCCTACTTGCCCTGTTTGTAGAACTTCTCCATTGCCTACTCCTCTCTCTACCCCACTCGCTGAGGTAGTTCCATTGGCAAGCAGAAGGGATTAAAAAATTGTTTCCAGGATTGTGGGATTGGAGTTTCAATTTTAGGTGCAAAAGAAAAAAGAATATGATTCTTGATTTTTTGTCAAGATCCCTATGTTTCTTTGATGTAATTTCTTGATTTTCATTCTTTTGTTTTTCAAAATGAATTTTAAGTCACAAATAGTTAATGATTGAAAATTTGAAATGTATGTGGTAGATTAGATTCAGGAGTTTCTGCATATAATTAATGTAAATAAAGATTTATTTATTACCGGTAGAAACAAAAATGAAAATTTATGAATTTGGAAAAACAGTGAAATTAATTTCAGATTGGTGGTTTTACATTATATAGACTCAACTATATATAAAAATTTATGAATTTGGAAAACAAAGTCTGAAATTAATTTCAGATTGGTTGGTTTTAACATTATATAGACTCAACTATATATATATATATATATATATATATATATATATATATATATATATTTCACATATATTTTGTATATTCCACATATTTTGCCAATTATAGAGATGGCCAATAATTCTCAACTCGTTCAATCGAGATGTAAAAGCATATGTAGATGGGAATTACAGCTACTTGGACGGAAAGGCCTTACCAACAGTACTTCTGATGAAGTTCTTGTTCAACCTAATTTGTATATTTAAATGCTTCTTACATCTTTTAGGATATTTTTCTGTTCTTAATTAGCAATAAATGTCGCTTCTTTTTTCCACAACGTGGATGTGATAATAAGTTCGAAAGAAAAGGTGGTGTTTATGTACAAAATTTTTCATAACTGTGATTTTTTAGTTTTTAAACATCTGACTTTACAAATAAAGTTCGCCTAAAAATATATATGGTATGCTTCTAATAACCGATCTGTTGATTAATAACAACAAATATTACTTATCAATTCCTCTTAAATTAAAAACAATTTATTACACGATCTGTATAATGGCTAAGTTGTTTTTAAAAGTCCATACTTTAACCATGAACTTAAAATTTCTTAAGAGACAAAAAGTTTGACATTGCCTCCGTTCATACTAATGCATATTTCTCTATATCTTGGTAGGCCAAAATTTTTAGAAAAAAACTATTTAAATTTGAATCTTTTCAACCCCTTTGGAACAAGTAAATCATAATTGTAAAATTCATTTGCAAATGAATTTCAAGTAGAATTCATTTGCAAATGAATTTGTTATGTTTAGTATGTTATAATTTAAAATAAGAAATTCAATTGAATTCCACAAAATTATATTTGGAATAAATTCTTAAATGAAAATCTATTTATATTTATTTCTTATAACACACTTGACATAATAATTTAACAAAAATAAATATTCTTATACAATTTCTTTTCAACATTGAAATATTTTTTTTTCTTCTAATTTCTGCTACTCATTAAATAATGAAAAGTTTAACAAATCATAGGAGAAAGTGATTTATATAAAATTATCATTAAGAATTATATATACAGGTCTATGATTGAATTTCTATTATCTCTTTTTCTATTCATTTTATTATTTTTAATATCATTTAAGAAAATTTATTAATTCAAAAATAAATTAAATCAATGATTTGTGAATATATATTTCCTTTTCTTTCAATTTTGTTTAAGTAATTAATTTAGAAACTAAAAAAATATTAAGAATGTTACTAGTGTTTTTAATTGCATTTAAAAACAATTGTTGATACTCAGTTTTTATAGTTTCATACTAACAGTAACTAATGTTAATACTAGACTTGGAATTTTTCAAAAAAACTAAACAAAAAGAAAACAAAATAGTTGAGTTTATAGTGGAGGGTAATTTTATCAATAAATATTTTAATGGTCAATTTTGTGAAATTTACTTACAAATTCTATCAATTTTAGTAGAATTTGAGGTAGGCGTACCTAATTCTATAGAATTCAATTCGTGGAATTCAAATCTGTATTTTTTTTTATTCTAAACACAAAATTTTAGATTTCTAAATAAATCCTATAAAATTTTGTAAATCTAAAATTTTGTGAAATTCTATAAAATTTTGTGGAATTCTTTTATTACAAACAGGCTCTTAATCTCCGGACTGACGAGACAAAATATTGAACAAACAGGATAATAATTAGCCCACCAAAACATTTTGCCCTACAACCAATTACTAAGGCAACCGAACCCTTGTGGGTTGGCTTTCAAAAATAGAAACAGTTCCATATTATTAATGATCTTTCTGGCATTTGGCAACAACTTTTAAACTAGTGTTAATATTTTGATCAGAGTAAAAATATTATCGGTGAATATTATAAATGTATATTCAACAAATAGTGTCAGAAAGAATGTTAATTTTTGTATAGCCACACACATATACATATATAACAATGGTGGCATGAAAGCAAACATCCTGGGTCATTGTATAACAGACCACTCATGGACACCAGGAATATGGATTTGGATGTTTTGTGTTGCTGTTGCCTGCTCAAATTGAAACGATGGCTTCTCTTTTTAATCCTCCTGAAAAGGAAAATAGTCAAAATGTTAGATTTATTAATGCAAGTTGCCTCCATCATATTTCTAATTAAATTAAATAAATAAATAATTATATATGTTGTATCATATATGAAAATAAAATTAGATTTAAACAGATATTTTAATAAACTTGTGCTTTATAAAGGAATTGATTTTCTTAAATCTGGTTTATGATCAAATTAATGAAAAATAATTTTTTATTAAAATAAGAATATTTTTAATCATATACTGCTGTGGAAGAAAATGATAAATTAAAAATAAATTTTAAAAAATTATTATTTTCATTGGTTTCGTCTACGGGTAAAGCCATAAACCCCGTAGTCTAATAAATTATAATAATTTTGCATCATGAATAATAGGTCAGCTTCCTCATTATTTTTCTTAATTGATTTGTGAATTATTATATTCAAATTTATCGTGTGGTAGAGCGATCCAAAAGGAAAATTTCATGTATTCCAATAATTGAGTTCTAGGATGAGCTTGTGCAATGTCATATTCAAATTTCGACGGTTCATTACAATCAAGAAAATGAATTTAGCATAAGGTGAACAAAAAAAGTTAAAAAAAAAAAACTAATTAACATATATATACCTATTTATTTATTTATTTATTTTATAAAGACTTCGACAGATTCTAGTAGTTGGATTGTAGTAATGGGTATGTGTCAAGAACTCAAGGTCATGAACTCTAAATTAAATTATTCTTTATGTATCTGTTATTTGTTCTGAATGTATCTAAATTAACCCTAACTTTCAGTCAAATTGCAAATCCGTCCATTCAATTTGTAGTTTTCATTTTTATCTCCTATCACGTTCTTCTTTTAAAATTCAAAAATATTATTTGAAAAATAGCAATATGTAATATTTTACTGTATGAAATAATTATAAATTCAGTATTTAAACTGTCATTTTTTTTATTATTTTAGTCAAGTGTCTCATTAATAGTTGACAATTTAGTATTTTCATTGAGATTTTTCGCTGAAAAATTCAGATTAGCTATTTTACTCGATCCTTTCACTTTATCCTTTTTTTATATATAGATTATTGTCTTTCTTTTTTATTTCTTTTATCTCATTACTTTTTTATTTTATTCTGAAATAAAAAGAAAGTTATAAGGAAATTTTAGATTTTTTTTTTAAATAACAGATATAAATAGAAAATAGAAAAGTTGAGAAAAATCATATATCAACTATATGATTATCTCTTTATTATTTTTTGATTCAGGCTTAATAAATTATCCTTTTTTATTTCATCATGATTAATTAGAGAATACTAATTTAAGGAGTACTACTTCAATAAATAAATTTTAAAAATAATTTATTTCTGATTTGTGTTATCCACTTGTATAAATTAAAATTTCGAATATATAAATAATTTATAAAAAAAAATACTCATAGTTACTATTAGGACTCAAAAAAGCGAGGGACTTCCTTGAAGATTATGCTTCACAAAATACTCGTGAAATGAAATTACTTGGGTATGAAATTAAAATACTCATGAAATGAAATTATTAATAAAATGTGAAAATAAATATCATAGTGAATTTAAAATTAAATTCTTTAACACCTAACGCTCTCCCGCCAACTACTAGTCAACACGTTGACCAACATCCTGTTTTAAGTGATTTACACAACATATCCGGACCGTCCAATTAGTGGGACCCACATATACAAAGACTCACATCACATGCTGCACCAAAGCAAGATAAGATCATGCATACCAAATTATTGTTAATTTCTATATTTTAATTGTTTTTTCTTTTTTTAATTGAGAGTCTGCCGGTCATAACAAGAAAAGCACAACAAACCTTCTCAAAATCAAAATCCAATCTCTCTATAAAAAGGAAAAATCCCTTAAATTGTGCCACAGAAACCTAAGAAATCTCTGCTGTGTTCATGGAGATGGTTCAGCACAAGCTGATCATGTCAATCTTCCTTTTATCCCTTTGTCTGTTCGTGCCTTTGACCCAAGCCACCGACGTTAAGTATTGCGGTAAGTCTGTCCAATAATTAATAAACCTAAAGCCTTTTCGTTATTTTAATTTTCCAGTTTAATTTCGATTGAGCGAAGTTGGAATCATTTGTTAAAAAAAACAATTTTTTGAATTTTCGATGCAGATAAGAAGGGAGATTATGATGTTAAGGTGAAAGGAGTAGAGATAACGCCGAATCCGGTGGCGAGAGGACAGTCAGCCACCTTCAGTATTTCCGCAACCACAGGTTGAATGTTCTATAATTATTGTTTTCTTGCTTTTCCTATTTTTAAGGAAATATAGATGTGAAATTGGGATTAATTGGGGCCTTTGGGAATTTCTAATTTCGTCCTGAGATAGTTGTTTATTTATTTATTGTTTTTTGTGGTTATTATGTGGATTTCTTATCTCTATTTTCTTTTTTTCTTCTTTTCTCTTGTAAAGAAAAAATGTTCTAAAGTGAATTCTGTTAATATAATTAATATTGACGAATGACGCACCTATAGCTTTATTGTCTTCATCTATTTTGATCGAATAATAAATTAATGTAGCAATGTAGTGTGTAAGTGTAAGGCTTGAATATGTGTATGTATGCATATGTATTTCCAAAATATCTCATCTTTCTCGTTGTGTCTGTGGAACTTCCAATGATCTGAAAACTGAAGTGCCAAGGATTTCGTAATCTATAGTGAATACCCAGTTGAAAACAAGAAACATCTTATTGTATCATCCATCATGTACGCTTCATATCATGAAACATTTTGACTGTTCATTCTTTTTATTATGAATGAGCAGCGTTTGTGGTTAGCTACAATAATGCATTAAAGTAAATGTGATACGCCTTCTTTTTCTGCCCAACTCTTAAAATTTGGAGGCCACTTCCCAATCTATGGTTTTTCAGAATTTTATACCAGCAGCCAAAACTGTTGTGGGAAAATATAATTTTACATACTCATACCCTTAACGACAAATACTGGTGTTTTACCTTCTGACACAAGCTGTTTTGCCGCTTTGCCTCGATGCTAAATGCAGGTGAAGCAATCTCTGGAGGAAAATTGGTGATTGATGTTGCGTACTTTGGATGGCACATCCATAGTGAGACTCATGATCTTTGTGAGGAGACATCCTGCCCTGTGACTGATGGTGAATTTGTAGTAGCTCATTCACAAGTTTTACCAGGATTTACTCCACCTGTAAGTCACTCCTCTCTTCAAAATATAAAACTTTTTTGGATAAGAAAGTGTTCTGTGGATAGGTAATTACAGGCTCTTAGGACTATAACTTATTTGGACTAAAGAAAGTGCTAGAATCACAACCTCATATGAAAATCTTCGAGTCAATGCATCATAGTATTTGTTTGTTCCATAAAAATCATCTTGCTAAAGGTGCTTTATTGAAAACATGTTTTGAGAAAGTGAATTATCTTAATCATTGTTGCATGTCTTATATGCTGTCTATTTACCAATGTAGCAAATGATTTGAAAAGAAAATTTTTTCTGTTCCTAAATTTTTCCGCAAAAGGCATTTCAAAAATTTTCCAATTAATGCTTAATTAAACAAATTGGATATGGAAGTAAATGATTCATTTAGTCGATCCCAACTAGTTTGGGATTAAGGCTTAGTTGTTATTGTTGGTTGGGAAATCAAAAATCAAGTGAAATTATTTTCTATTATTTGGAATACATTGAAAAGGGAAGTCAAAAATCAAGTGAAAATTATTTTCTATTATTTGGAATTCATTGAAACGGGACAATTCTTTCAATAAAAAACCTATTGACAATGTTTTGACCTATAAATTGTTTTTTTCTACTAGTAGTTGAAAAAGAAAGAGAATGATGCAAAAAAAGGGGTAAATTACGGTGGTGGTGGTGATCTGCTTTAATATGATGTGATTTTTGGACATGGTTACCTGGAATGTTGTACGTTTCAGGTTATTATAGCATAGGAACTGGGACAGCATGCGAATCATCTTGGCATCTGGTGCCTAAAGTGTAGGATTAGTTGATACATTGATTTGGATCAATGGATGTTAACTATAGTTATTAGGGACGTTAGGCTTTTCTACTAAAATTTTGAGCCTAGAACTATTTCTTGACTCTATTTTTTTAGCCCAAAAAATAGGTAAAATTACCGAGTGAATATGAAATAAACATAGAAATACATCCCAATGTCCAAAAGTACCGCAATCCAGGCCTATGCATTCAGGATTGTGGTGCTATGAGGGGTCTAGTGAATTAGGTAACTGTGGTTGGACTAGTAAGACTGAAATTGCAGTGAACTAGTAATACTACCTAGTCTTCTTCTAGGTTCCTTTCTTTTTATGAATATGTGGAAGTTTAGAAAATGATTTCCTAATGGGAAGATACTTTCCTTGAAAATGTCTCATCATCTATTTGGTTTAATCATGATGAAGAAGTAGATGTTGATAGCTAGCAACCAATATTGAGAGGCCAAATTTTAACAGTTATGAATATTCGTTTTGGACATGTGACTTGTTAAGAATCGCACATCGACTAAATATCAAATCCACAAAGGGCATATAAGGGTGGCAGATTAGCTACTAATTGGTTAGTACTAATCTTTTACCGTTAGTTGACCTAAACTCAAGTAAGTTCACATCGTACATTTTCACCTTATGGTTCTGACCTCTTACTTAATTCATCTCTATCCTTTCAATTTGTAATATGGTATTAGAGCAGGTCCAACCAGGTTCAGTTATTCCTCAGTTCATGGTGTTGCCATTGCATTTCAATTTGGGCTCTCGTCTGGATGTCCAGCCCAGCGAAGCCCATTGAGGGCAAAAAGCCCAATTTAATTTAGGGGGAGGATTTCAAGTTTCAAGTGTCAACCGAAAGTCCAATCACGGTTACACTTAAGAAGGAGTGCTAATAATCCCACATCGACTAAATACCAAGTCTACAAAGAGCATATAAGGGTGATAAGCTAACTAGTTAATTGGTTAGTACTAACCTTTTAATATTGGTTGGTTCAAGTTCAAGTAAGCCCACATCATACGTTTCAGCTCATGGTTCTAACCTCTTATTCAATTCACCTCTACCCTTTCAATTTGTAATATGACTTATTAATTTTAAAGCACCTATTGCTAGATTTTAAAACAAACACTAGTTCGACCATTATATTTATCAAACACTTAAACCGGCAATTAAGAGCTCAAATGCCAACTGGTAACTACTCATCCAAATGGATCCTCACTTGATCTTGAATTAATAAAAGTCTTTTATTGGCCAATTTTATTTACTATAAAGGTGAAATATTTTTCAAAAAACAAATGGTCTTTGTTGCAGAGATAATGAACTTGGAATTTATTGCCCATTGGTAATTTATTATGAAGCATGGCTGATAACCTTAGTTAATTTATCACTCTCTTAATGAGTGTTTCTTATAAATTTCCGTTTTTATCCACACAGGCAAAGAAATACAGATGCATAATGTAATTTATGTGCATGCACATTAATCGCACTGGTTGCTTTGTGTTTAACAGTCATGATGTGCAATCAGTTTAGCTGTAAACTGACGCTGATGATTTTAGGCTTAGTATGCTTTATAAACTTTATTCCTCTTGGAAAATTAGCTAAGTGTGATGTGAACTGCGCAGAAGATCTAATTATTAGGGTTTAAATAAGCCAAGTGACTGGTCGGTCAGCTGTTTAATTTTACTTGCTGTTCAATTTTACTTGCAACATTGATCAAGTAATTTATCACGCCAGTCTTGAGAGACATGGTTTCTTAAGGGTGAAACCCCTAGGCAAGCTGGAGAATGTATTGCTCAGGATTGGCATTACCAGTCAAATATCCTTTGCGAAAAGATCCATTCTGTCCCTTTTCTTTTACCGAGCAAATTCCAGATACATATACAATTACCATGGTTGGTTTAACAGCCTCTCTTGTTAGCTTAAGATTCTTATGGCTCACCATTACTTTGTGATGTCAACTAAAGAGTGGTAGCGAGGTTCATCATTTTTTTTTGAGTTCTTGTTCTTTGAGTCTTGTATTGATCCTATATATGAAGCTTTGCATTATTGTTGCAAAATCCATATCTTGTCCGCAATTATATATGAGTAGACATTTCAGTTTGTCCATTTAGTCCGTCCAGAAGCCTGGCCCATTTGATAACAGTTTGATTCTCCCACATCCAGAAATTGGAACAGTTTTTAATGGTGAAGACGCACATAATATCCTTGCCTTTACTCTTGTTGTATATATTTTTTTTCCTGGTTAATTAATTGAACATCTATACTGTGGGAACAGCTAAATATAGACTATTATCATTCTATGTAGTGAACATTTCTTTTGTCCATCTTTGACTTACTTGAATAAGTTATTGGCTTAAGTTACATACAGAAAGTGTAGGTTAATATTTTGCTTGAAGCAAGTATGGTTGCAGGTTAGTTGCATCAATCATTATTAAGGAATAAATTGAACATGAACTTCACCAATAGCCTATTGATTGTGCCCTAGATGCTTTTCAATTTGACTTTAGTAACTGAAAGTGCAAGCAACGTTTGACATGTTATATCTTCGATCTATGGACTATAGATTTAAATATTGTATAGTTTGTGTACTTTACTGAAAGAATTTTACTTCTCTCTACCTTGATTATTGTCTAATGGTTTTTGTTATCTGCAGGGTTCATACTCCCTTACTATGAAAATGTTCGATGGTAACAAACGCCAGTTAACTTGCATTAGCTTCGATTTTAGCATTGGGTTTGCATCACCCATTGCAGATAGTTAGGTTTCTGAAGATGTGATTTAAAGTCTATTTACTATCACTGTATGAATAGCATGTACAGAGAAATCTTTATGCGATGTATGTTACAAGCACAGCTACTTTAACTTTGCTGCTATGGTTCTGTCTGTAAGTTGTGAGTTTTAAGCTTTATCAAGACGAGGAGAACTCATGGCTCTTGCTATATGTTTATTTTAGTTATCGTTGATATGTTATGACTGCAATTTGCATGATAATAGGCTGTCTGATCACTCTTATAATTTCAACTTTGGTCTTTCTTTTCTTGAGAAGATTGCAATTGGTAATCAGATGAATTATAATGTGCGCCACAAATAACAATATGCTCAATAGTAGGCTCCATAATGTTTATGATCTTGTTCGCTTTGATTAAGTGAAAACTCTATTTCCTATTAATCGTACGGTTCAGTAACATAATATAGTTTTTATAATAGTTTATCAGAGGATGGAATAACTTTTTATGAAATATTAAACACGCTAATACTTAGCATTTCATAGAGATAAATTATATTTTTTAATAATTATACATTTTTTTTTTTTCATATTAAACACTTTTAATTTAAAGTGTTATGTAAATAGTTACTGTATTAAATCAGTTAATACTGCTAAGAAGAAATTATTTTTGCCTGAAAAACGAAAACATTAACTACAATTGAGACTTGACGCAACTTTCCAATTGATAAACATACATAATTGATGTCTAGAGGACTCGATTGTTGAGAACAAAAAAGTGGTAAAGCAAAAGTCTATTTCTCTCAAAGCTGCTTTTTCATATTCAGATTAAACTTTGACCTTTGGCTCTCTTTGTCCGAATGGATTCAATTCTGCTCCTCCAGAAACCACTCCATTGTTTCCACACCACCAATCAAACTTTTGCCTAATTAAGGCATTAAGGGCATTAAAGACAAGATAAAAATTAAAGGGGTAATTTTGGACATTCCAATTAATCATTTACACCTTCTTTAAGGTATTGCCTTCCATTCCTTACAGTGGTGAGGCACCAAATTGTTGGTATAAGGTCAGTGCATTACAATGGGACACAAATGGAGACCACATTAGCCTCCCCCACAAAGTTATGCATTGATCAATTTCATATATAACTTTAAAAAGCAACCAAACAAAGAGCTTTTCAGTTTTTCATTTTATTTTTTCTTTTTTCCACTTTTATGCTATTGGAAACCAAAAGAGAAAACCTTCTCAACCTCCCTGTCCTCTAGACTCCTCAGTAGTCAATTCTCAACTAAGTTTCTTTCAACCTTCTATCTCTACAACTGAAAATTTTTTTTCTTGTTATTCTTATCACATGCTATCCAATTCTTTTGTGACTCAACAAACACACAAAATGAAATCAATGAAGGGTACTTTACTCCTCAAGAAAATGAAATTCATTCAAAGCTTAAACACACTAAAACATACCCTAGTTCCTCACCACCATCAAAACCCAGAAGTCATAACCAGTGCTCTCAGTGTATCAGAACCTATTAAAGATTTCAAAGACAAGGAAGAAGAAGAAGTAGGCGCAGAATTTGAAGACAAGGACATAAAAAATAATCCACTTTTAAACTTTGAAGAAAAATGTCCTCCTGAAGGAAAAGAATGTGTAGTTCTTTACACAACAAGTTTGAGAAGTATAAGAAAGACATTCGAAGATTGCCAAGCAATTAGATTCTTGCTTGAGAGTTTTAAAGTGAAATTCTATGAAAGAGATGTTTCTATGGATTTGGAGTTCAGAGAAGAATTATGGAGGGTTTTAGGTTGCAGAGTAATCCCACCAAAGCTTTTTATTAAAGGAAAGTATATAGGAGGAGCTGATGAAGTTGTAATCTTGCATGAACAAGGTATGCTAAAGAAACTTTTTGAAGGTATACCATTAGTCTTGAATAATACTCTTTGTGCTTGCTGTGGTAATAAACGGTTCGTCGTTTGCTTCAATTGCAATGGTAGTCGCAAAGTCTTCGTTGATGGAGAGAGTGGTAATGAATTGTGTATTAGATGCCCTGACTGCAATGAAAATGGATTGGTCAAATGCTCTATTTGCTGCTGAGCAAAAATCTTGGTTGTCTATTACTAATCAGTTTGGCATAGTGGTATTACAGTTGTTTCCAGGATTGTAAGTTTCAAGTATTTTTTTGGCTGGCTATTAACTTAAAAAAAAAAGGAAAAGAAAGAAGAATTCTTGGCTGGCTATTAGAAATATACATATAAATATGTTTCCTTCTGCTAATTAATAGCTCCGTTTCTTTATTTTGTAATGCATTATCATCTTCTTTAACTATTTTTTTAAGCTAATTTCAATGTTAGGAATGATCAAATCTTTGTTGTTTTTTTTTTTTTAAGTCGTTAGGTAAGTGAGACCATGGGCAGTGTACATTTTAAGTGCAAAGAGTTTGCTGCTGAAAATTCCAGCTATATATATATATTGGTCCCTAATTCTGTTTTCAATCTTTCTTTGTTTCTTATTTTTATTTTTGGCATTCAATATTTAAAATCTAGCTTCCCCTTTTTATTGTATTCTAATGGATGAAACATCTCTTAAGGGTGTGAGAGTAAAAGTTTGATGAAGTGCACTTTCTTAGAAAGGCAAAAAGCCTTTATGTTTTATGGTGTGAAAAGATTGCACCTACCAGTTATACATACGGTAGGTTATACCTTTTTATTATATTCTAATGGATGAAAATCTCTTAATTGAGAAAAAAAAAAATGGAAGGGAAAACACAAACGCAAACCTCAATAATGATAAAGGGTTAAGGATGATAATAGTTGGTAGAAAGAATCTATTCAAAGGATTATAACAAGAATATGTGGAGCCTAGTGAAACTGATATTGAAATAGAATTATTATTAAGATAAGTATGGAATAATGAGTTATGAAGAAGATGCACATGGCTGATGGCTCTTCCTTCCTGAGTATAAGAAAAAGGTTACTGATTGGCATCAAAAAAGGTTGAAGGAAGGTGTGAACTCATTATGAAGCATCCATTGCCAAAACCTTTTTCTGGAGTCAATGCAGCTTTTTTGCATGGTTAATTAGGGTAATATCGTAATGTTTTCTTTTCTTTTCTTTTCTTTTTATAATGTAGCTCAACTACTAATTAAGGTGGTATTGATATTCTTTTGAAACATATATGCTTCAAACAACAAAGAAAGATTATGCTTTAAGCCAAACGAAATTAGCAATAAGAACTAATTATCTTGAATTAAAAAACTAGTTGAGTACACTATATATATATAAAAGTTGAGTCCTAAAAACTTACATGGCATCATTTTAGAGTATTAAGATGCTTATGTGGCAATGTTAATCTATTGAGTTGGAAATAATTTTTATATTTTAAAAAATTATTTTTAATATTATTAATAGAAATTTTAATTAATATTATTAATATTTTTAGTTTTTAAAAGTTGAGCTCCTAAAAAACTTACATGGCATTCATTTTAGAGTATTTAAGATGCTTATGTGGCAATGTTAATCTATTGAGTTGAAATAATTTTTATATTTTTAAAAAAATTATTTTAAAAAATTATTTTTAATATTATTAATAGAAATTTTAATTAATATTATTAATATTTTTAGTTTTTAAATAATCAATAAAATGAATAATATCATTAATATTTTAAAAAAATTTCACTTTCTTTTTATAAATAATTAAAAATATCATTAATATTTTCTCTTTTATTTTCCTTTTTTTTTTCTTTTCTATTTTTACGGAATTTGTATAAATATCTATTTCAATATAAATGAAACTATATAAAAAAAATCACATTATACTTTCAACAAAAAAGAAATGAATTCCTTGCAAACAACACAAGACTGTTTTCATGGCATTTAATAAATTTGAGCTTGATCAATGTGGTGATTGCGGTAAAATTATAAAATATATTCAGTTCTCAATGATCAACTAAGGTATGATTAAATTGATCTGTATGTTTTCTTTTGTGAAAGGAGATGATAGTATTTCTCACCCTATTTCAAATCAGGGAAAACTTTAATGAAAATTTTTTTTATGTTTTTAATCTTTTTTGGATTTATGCACGTATTTTAGACTATTTATTCAAAATGAATTCAATAATAAAAGATATTTATAAAAATATTTTAAACGTACTATAATATTTCTAGAAAAGAAAAAATTCAAGATTAATTATAAATTTGATTTATGTATGTATATTTTGATATATTAATCATTTGCAAGAATCTCCAAAAAATATTTTTTTTTATTTTATTTCTTTGGAAATTAATAAGTGTAATATATTTTATATTTGTATTATTGAAAGTGATTATTTTTTATAATAAAAATAGTATTTTTATTTTTAAACATCGTATAACATCCGCCTGCGAAACATGAGAAGAAGACTAGTATATATATATATATTATTAAATTTAAAATATATTAAAAATAAATTTTTTTTAAATATTAATATATAATATATATATTTGGAAATATATATATATATATAATACATTGATGAAACCCAAATTATGGCGACCACTGAAATATATAATACTTGATGAAACCCAAATTATGGCGACCACTTGTAAACTGATTTCACATGCCGTTAGGTTAAAACAACAATTTCTGAAGTGATAATAATAATATTTAACATGAATATAAATAAATAATATGGTATATAAATATTAAGGGATTTTACTATTTTAGTTTAATTGTAACAGTGTCACAGTTAAGTATCATCATGATTCTAACAAATGATTATATATGTCTTTATACATGATTGATTGATTGATTGATTATAAAAATAAAAATATTGTTTTAGTTTTTCAATATGTTAGTTATTAATTAATGCAATTGTTAATATTTTTAAATGATAAATTGTTGTTTGTTTTATAAAAAGAAATTTTCAAATATATATAAACCCAACCGAACACAACAACTACGCTTAATGAATTCTATATTCCTAAACTCTAAATCAAAAACACATCTCTCTCAAGTCTGACTAAAAGCAGCATAATTCATACGGTTGTGAAGTCCGTTGGCTGGCAACTTCTCCTGATAGGTATTATCATGGATGGGTTACGGCTTGAATTTTGCAATATCCATATCCAATTTTACAATAAAAAATAATATTTCGGATAGCCACCCGTCTTAAATTGAATTAAATTCAAGTCATATTGAAATAATATATATGTATATAATCAATAAAAAGAGCTTACTTTTCACATAAAAAGAGAATAAAATTAATCAGATCAGGCTCGAGTTTAGTTCGAGTCGAATTTATAGATATTTGTACCACTCTATTTATAAATTGATGAAGTTTTATTGGGTACTCAGATCGGGTTGAAATGAGTATCCCTATCCCCCGGTTCCATAGAAGTTAATCAAACAATTCAATCTGGGTCAATGCTCGGGCTGATTCACTTGCAAATTTTGCCGAGAGTTTTTTTCTTAGGATTCATAATCTCACGTCCCTTTTTGCACAGTAGTTATCTTGTTGGGTTTTTTGAACTTTACTCTTCCTTATATACATAAAAAAAAACTTTCGCATTACAACAGAATTAGCAAAAAAAATCTATTCGGAGCTGCACGATACATAAAAATTCAGGAAGTCGCTAGAGAAATTTCTAAAACAATTGCTAATTAACATGTTGATGGCACAAACTTTTAAAGAAAATCTAATTTGTTCATAAAAATTTAATTAAAGTATCTAATAGTCAACTTTGGGTGCCTTCAAAAGCTCACTTGCAAAACCCTAAACTTCCGTGAGAATGGTCTGACTTGTGGCCAGCCTTGGACGGAAATTTGGTTTTGGCTTTTGGTCTGGGAAGGCAGAGCAATGTTGTGGATGGGTAGAAGATTTGGTTCAATTTGAGCCTACTTTGGATTCAACGTGGAAGCTAAGGACTTATTATGCCTTGTAAAAACTGAAAACCAACTAAAATTCATGTTGAAGTTGTTTTATTGAAAGATTGGGTTTTTCTTTTTCAATTCTTTACAAAGAGAGTTAATATAACCAACTAAAATTCATGATGAAGTTGTTTTATTGAAAGATTGGGTTTTTCCTTTTCAATTCTTTACAAAGACAGTTAGTATAAATAAATATTATTAATGATGTTGAGTGTCACTTAATTAACGGTGAATTCAACCGTTATTAAAGTGTTAAAAAGGTATTCCTGTGCCATTGAAACATTTTCATTCTAGCACCTGGAAAGATATTGTTTGCAGTTTGTCTTCTTTCTTCTCATACTGCCTAGCGTATTGGTAATGGGCAGCATATTAGTTTGTGGTATGATTGTTGGTGAAGAGCATTTTCGTGTTGCTTCTATTATAGTTTATGGTGTTTGGGATTTTTCAAGTTTGCATACTTTGATTCAGGATCATATTCGCCTGCTCATTCAGTCTATCCCAGTTTTGTCTTTTGTTTCTCTTGCTGATTCTATGATTTGGAGTTTTTCTCCTAATGGTGGTTTTATGGTTAAAGTTGCTTATGCTGCTCTACTTCATGAAGAGTTTTCTTCGGTTTCTTCCAATGTGGTCTTATGCTTGGATTTAGAAAATTGATGGGTTACCAAAGTTGAAGCATTTTGTTTGGCTAATTGCTCATAGACGCCTCCGCACTAATGTTTTGTGTTTTGCTCGCGGCTTAGTTGCTGAGGATTTGTATGGTATTTGTCATGGTGGTTGTGAAACTTGTTATATTTATTACGGGATTGTTCTTTCATTCGACCTTGGTGTTATTTTTACAGGTGCATAAGGATTTCTTTGTTATTGATGATGGGATCTTATGGCTCTGTTCTAACTTGGACTGTCTGTCTGTTGGACCTTTTAGCTTACAGTAGAAGCATTGATTTTTAGCCAGTCTTTTGGTGGTATTGGAAGGCTTGCAATTTGAGGTTCTTTACGAATGAGACTATGACTTTGCCTCGGTTGACTAGCTATGTTTTTAAAGTGTCTATGGACACTTTGGCTTCGATTAATTCGATCTTGTCCAAAAAGTTGCTACAAGTCGTGTTCTTGTTGCTTGGATTCCACCTCCTGAGGGTTGGGTGAAACCTAATTATGATGGTAGTAGTTTGATAACCTTGGGTTGGTGGTGGCCTATTTCGAAAGCATCTGGGCAGGTCGTTTACAAAAAGAAATAAACTTTGTAAACGTGCAAGAATAATAGTATGATTTGGATTCATTATCTAACTTTTTTTTATGCATTGATTATATAACTTCTCTTTCTTTTTTTTTTTTTTTTTTTTTTTTTTTTTTATGCATTGATATATAACTTCTCTTTCTTTTTTTTTTTTTTTTTTTTTTTTTTTTTTTTTTTTTTGTTTAATTCCTATGTCCATGGTATCCATAAATTTACAGTTATTTTTATTAATTTTTCTAATAGGACAATTGATTTTGTTTTTATTAATTAAAATTTCCCAATAATAGGAAAGAGGAGAATTATAATTTCTTTTTTTAAGTAATTTTTATCACACAAGAAGGAAAAAAATACTATTACCTATGTCCCAAAATATAAATCGTCTTTAGGTATTATTTTGTTTCAAAATACAATACGTTTTGAGTATTTTAAGGAATAATAAATGACTCTTTTTCAATATTAACCTTATTTACATTATATATAATAACTACATTCACAAATCATTCTTGATTTTGATATAAAAGTAATTTAATTAAATTATCATTAATTTTATTATAATTTAAAAAAAATAATAAATTTCTTAAGCCGTAATTTAAAAATATTAAACTATTTATATTTTGAAAATATTAAATAAGGAGACACAAATCCAGATTTTGCTGTAATCCTCCAAAAAGACTTATTTTATGATCAACGAACGCGCAATGCCAAGAAACAGACAGAAAGGAAAGGAACATAACATAATGTGCAAGTAAAATAACTGGACCCAAATGGAAAGCAGTGAAAATGGGACCAGAAGTTTAAAAAGCCAATCCACAGTTCTCATTGTAGCCAGCCTTGCAGGAGGCTTATTTTACCTAATTCAACATTCGTTCAAGTGGGTCCTTGCTTCATGTGCTATTGGCTTAACTAGCTTAAAAGGCTAAAACTTTTCTAAACAAATTAATTTTTAATTCTTTAATTATGTACTTTTAAAAATTAATTCAATAATTCTTCTAATTATTATTTCATTAAAATTTTCATTCAATAGTCTTAAAATGTTAAGGGGTGTCTTGTTGTCAGAAACTCACGGGAAAATAAATTGAGAAAGTTGAATTCTGATATTTGGTTGATGCTTTCTCAGAAAAGAAAATTGAATTTCTGAACATGTAATCTCTATTTCTACTTTTCCACATAAATAAAGAAGTACTTTTATGTTTCAAATGATGGAAAAATTAAATTCTTATATATAATAAGACATTTATTTTATAATAACATTTACAATTATAAATTAGATTAATACTTGGAATATAAACCATGGATTTGAAAATATTTAAATGACTTTCTACCTTTGAAGCAAGTTATATTTATTATTATTATTATTGAGATTTAAAGAGACACATCAATTACTTTTTAATGAACAAATGAAGAATAAATTTATAGAAATCAATTAAAAATTTAATACCTATTTATATAATTTTTTTATTGTACATTCATTTAAATTATTTTAAATATTAATTTTATGCATCTAATAAAAATTTTAATTAATTAAACTATTTAAATAGTTCAAAATATCAATTCTTAATGTGAAACTAATTTTACTTGCAGTTCATAAAAAAGAGTTGTATAATTCTAAAATTTCAATAATTCTAAAAAATTCTTATCAACTTTCTAAATCTCTCTTTATATATCACCATATTTCTATTTCTATATTTTGTTAATCTATATGTTCTGGTTAGTTAAAGTCCTAATTTTATGGTATTTACATCGAATTTTCCAATCATATAATTTAAAGTGAAATTGGTTATTTATATTTTCATATATTATTATATAATTATAGTGCATTTCATAATCTCACTTTTAATATTGTATATGATTTTTTTAATAAAGAATAAATTTAGAATTATATATGTAGTTCCAAAGATAAAGAAAAGTTACTCTAAAAAAATAAAAGAAAAAGTAATAACATAAAAGATTATTTTGTTTTAACAAAAAAGAAAAAAAAAATCAATGGCCTAACTGTTAGTTTATATGTTGAACTGTAATTTAAATAGAATTCTGTATCGATATATTTTTTAACATCTGTATATTAGTAAAAGCTGAAAGTGAAAAGGATATGTGTTTGATGATTAAGTAGAAGCATTGTTTTATAGTGGAAATTTAGGGGTAGTTTGTTATTATTTTTTGTTTTTTGTTTTTCATTCTTGAAAAAAAAAAAAACTATTTTATTGATTGATTTTTAATTTTTGAAAATTATTCTTTTTTTTAATTTTTCTATAAACATTTTTATATACAAAATCAACTCATATATATAAAAGAGATAAAAAAAGAGGATACGATAATTTTTTATATACAAAATCAACTCATATATATAAAAGAGATAAAAAAAGAGGATACGATAATAAAATATTTAAAAGGATATCATTTTTCATTTAAATATAAAAAATTTATCTAAAAGAAGAGACGTTCAGGAAAGGGATTTGTAGAAGAGAGACTTGTAAGAGAAAGAGAAAGAAGAGAGAAGCGTATCAAAAAAAAATTGCGTAAACTATAATTTGTAGTTTCATAAAACACTTTTTTTATTTTTTTTAAACGATTTTGAAAAAAGTTAAAAAGTAAATTTAAACACTTTTACAACCAACATATTTCTTTTTTTTTTAACTAAAATTTTACGAAACCTATAAATCACGACAGTAACAAACATGACCCTAGTTATTGAGATTGCTTTTTATTATAGGAAAATCAAAATTTTACAAATATATATCTGTAAGACAATTGTTTTGAACAAAACAATTTGATTATATTTGTAAGAGATCCCCTCATCTGATGCCAATTTGAATATTAATCAACATTAAACCGAACCACTTATTAGGTTCGGTTTTGATTAGGACCGACTAATGCACATTCCTATTATAATTCTTCCAATGGAATTAAAAAAGAAGAAGAAAAGCAAAGCATTAAAAGTATTCTCTGTCCTGTAAATGGGTTCCTGATGTACCATCTGATATGTTTAAAATATTGTATTCGAAGTTTGTTTGAATCGCAACATTGCCTTGTGCAAATTGCAGATTTGTAACATATCCTACATCCACAGAAACTCATCTGATGGTCAAAAAAAAAAAAGAAAGCACAAAAGATAGCATGTCTAGAAGTGAATGCAAATATTAAAAAATGAAAAGATTAACATTTGCAAGATTTAAATAACTTTTTAACAATGATTTCAAGTTTTCAGTATTTACCATTCTCTCTTTTTGAAACTTAATTGTATATTTATGATTGTCCTGGAAGTGACCTTTTCCTAGTTTTCTCACAGAAAAATAACCCAATTCTGCTTGTGGAAAACTACAGTGTATCCTGAACTGGGGTAGGCATTTCATGGATGATAACGTCAAGTTGCCCTACATAAAATGATAATGCTTATTCTAGTACCACAGCGGAATTCCATTTTTAAAAGATTTTGTAAATTGTCTCAATTTTAATACTTAGAGAGTGATTGCCTCTTGGCAGTTAATGCTTCAAGTAAGGATGTTTGTGATTTTTCTTATATTGAAAATTTGATCGCAGATTGTAGGATGCTTATTTCGAGTATTACTCTTATAGATGTTAAGTTTATTAAGAAATCAGTGAATCAGGTTCCTCATACGATATCGTTGAAGTGAGGTATTGTCCCTCCAATTTTAATTGATGATGTTCTTCGGTTTGATATTAATGATAATACATAAAGCATTTGATCTTGTCAAAAAAGTAATAATAATAATAAAATATTTATAAAATGGATTCCACTTAATCCATCCAAATTCAACTTGTGAACACAGATTTTATTCAAAGGTAAGTTTGCAGCAACCTCATGAAGCCCTGAACTAGAAAATTCTCTTACGTCAGTATATGGTCCATCCAGTGCACAAGGCAATAAGGTCGCACAAGGCAGTAAGGTCTCACCAAACACAATCTTCCAAGAAAAGATTATTTTTCACATCCTGCAAATGGTCTCTAAACCAATCCAGAAATGGTCTCTAATACATGCAGTTGGTCCTCACTCCTCACTATGAGACATGCAAACCATACACGTCTCTGCATCCGCTCATTGTCAGTTAGCAACCCAGATAATGACCAGCTGCTTACTACATGTTCTGTAGCAATGGGGGGAAAGTTTTGAGCGTGCAAAATTGGGTTGGAATTTTTACTCAAAAAGGAAGCAGTAGTTGAAAGATTCTTGTCATGTCGTAAACAACTGCTTTTTGAAGTTACTCTGCACAGCTTACACATTATTATAGGAAAGGAATATGGGATCCTAAATTTTAAGCCTCTTAGATTCTCACTACACAATCTTAAAGGCAAAAAGAGAGAGATGACATTATTGCCCTCGTATAGGAACTTGAAATCTGAAAGGAGCTGCAAAATGCTTGGATGCATATGTATTATCCGCATACAAGTCTGCAAAAGTAGTGAAAATCTTAAAGAGAATTTTTTGAGAAATGTTAAAAAGTGAGAAAATTGGAAGGGTGAAAAGGAAATTACAGTCTCTGTTCAAAAAAGAAAAAGAAATTGCAGTGCTTTACAGAACAGCACCTTTTACCTGGAAATTAGATATCACAACTAGTCACTGATATTGACAAACAGATGTAGACAATAAGCCAACTTTAAAAAAACAAGAAAGGCAAGTTCCATTTCAGCAACAGCTTAGAAGAAAAACAACCTTTTTAATGTCACACTCCTCAAAAAGCTGAAATGGGTTCCTCTTTGTTAATCCCATTCAAATTTCAACATCATATGAAGTCCAGTAACAAATTAATATGTTAGGCTAATCACACTCGCTAAATTTACAGAAAATCTTTATGCCTGTGCATGGAGCTCAGTTATAGCAACATCAACTGATTCTAGTAGTGCTGTCATTGCATCTGTCGGAGGAGTTTTGGGAAGTGCTTGTAAGTGCTGGGTATAGTGGAACTCAATCTGCAAGCGGTGATGAAGAGGCGTTGATGCTAGTAAACCTTTCTTAATATCTGCTTGCAATTCCCGGATTGGAATTGCAGCCAAGAAACTCTTTATATATTCCTTGCAAGAGTCCTTACCTCGGCAGAACACCTCCCCCTCTTCGTCATCACTCTTCATCGGTTCCTCATTTTTGATTACTAGTGCCTCTGATGTAGAAGCCTCCTCCTTTGGATTCACCTGCTGATTCTTAGGTTCAGCAGCAGTTGCCACAATATGTTGATCAGCAATCGTTTTCTCATCAGATGGCTGAGGAACATTTGGCAATTTGCGAATTATTGTGTTACTATCAAATTTCAAAATGTAGGCTTGATTGCATCCTTCGTACAGCCTCTCGCCTAATGTGTCAATGATGTAGTAAGCTTCTGGTTCAACTTTGAGAATGAAAAAATGATCGTTCCAACTAACAATGTAGACCTGAGATTCATCGTTGCTTGGACGTTCTGATCCAGTGCCACTAATCTCATCCCAAATGTTATCAAAAGACATGGCACCCTGCAAAAAGTCAAATCTTCCCTCGTCCATCCCATCTGGATGGAAAAATCCAATAAAGGACTTGCCAGGAACAACAGAAAGAGAGCGTATTTTGGCTTGGAGGACTGTTTCCAGGTCAAAATGCTTGTCAGGGAATTGCTCCCTGTAGGTCTCATTCTCACAGAGGTTCCTCCATTCAAGTGATCCTTCTCTGATCAGACTATCAAATTGGGATTTGATTGGCATGACATTTTGATTGTTCTGAAACCAATCGGCAATAACAGCAACAAGAGCTGTGCATGCACTTTCACCTGCTGCTTGTTCACTTCGCTGATCAATTGAAGCAAAGAAGACGTCTGTTTGAAGCTTCATGTGTCCATCACGGCTTATTATTTCTTTGTGTTCCCAACTGCCTATGGCAAAATTGTCATCTCCAAAATCAGAAACTGATGACCGATTTGCAGACAAATCCTCCTCTGCTTTGTGAGACTGCAAAATAGTTAACAGCATTTAGAGCTGGAACTTATTCTAATTGGATGCAAGGATTTAACAATCCAAAAGGCCAAGGAATAACTAATCATAATAATGACCTAATTTACATTCCAAGATGCCCAATGAGATTCACTTTTTTTTTTTCAAACAAAATAAGTACAACTAAAACCATAAAAGATATTATTAAATTAAAATATGAAAAACAAGACATGAATAACACTTCTTACCCCAAGAGCACCAGCATCATCCGAACTAAGTTGCCGACGATCGAAGTCAATATCATCCCCACCTTCTTCTCCATAAGCTTTTTTCAACAATGGTTCTCCTTTGGCCTTAGGAGACCTAAAGCTCAATTTCCTCTTCCTCCAAGACAGTATGGTGCGCTTTGAGCTTTGCAACAGAGATGGTTCAGAGGATTCATCAGTCTGTGAACAACCCACATCTGACTTGCGATTGCTGTAGTAAACCCAATCCTCATATTCACCATTTTTTTTTATATCAGAGTAAAATGACCCACCAGCGCAATTTGCATAAGCCAGTGTCCCATAACTGAATGACTTCCTAACGCTACAATCCTCTTTAAGGTCATCTGATTCTCCTCCTTCAAAATCATCGATTGAGTCCGAGTCAAATGGATAGTTATATTCACCATCCTCACTTCTTGCAGAGCACCTTCCTTCACTTCCCTCTTCCTCACGGCAAGCCTTTTTTGCTTTTCTAGTAGACACATACTCCGTAAAAATTTTAACCTTCCTAAGGCCAGCTTTAATTGCAGAGAGCTCATCCTTTTCAGTTGACACAGTTTCTCCTGATTGAGGTGGTGATGAGACAGGAACTATCGCTCTCTGTTCCAGCTCTGAGGTTTCAGGAGCCGTTCTCAATTCCAATAAGCTTAGTGATATCTGCATGGTTGATACAAAAACTACTAAGAAAGTGCAAATTCTGTGAAAGGGAAATGTAATCAGCATTCCAACAGAACAAAAGCTACAGGCACTGGACCTCATAATAAAAGGTACAAACTTTTAAGCTTAACCAAAACAATGAGTGGTGAATGGATACATACACAGAGCAATGGACGAGTCTCAGCAGCACCAGTAGGGAGCAAGAGGGGGAGGCTTAATTCCAACTCTTTTTGTTCGGCAGTAGTAGCAAATTCAGCAAGGTTCAGCAATGCAGTACCAACAGCAGGAACCTTGTTTTTTGGCCCTCGGTTCACACCCTGAATCAGAAAGAATCAGCTAAGTTCTCCCAGAAAAGGTTTTGCTATTTTGGCAGCAACCAAAAAAAAAAAAGGTTCAAAGTACATAAACTTCAAGGACTCATCACAAAAATATAAATACAATGCAACATAGAAATGAATTCCAGAAACCAGACCAGAATTAAGAACCTCTAATCAAGAACAATAAAGAATATAACCCAAATAACAGAATGAATTCCAGATCCAACCAACCAAGCGACAATAAGTCCAACCCAAAAAAAGCCCCCAAAACAGCAAAACCAATTGATCATCATGTCATAAAGTTTTGCATTACATGGATTCAATTTCTAATCTTCAACAATAAACAGGAAGATAAAACTATCTGTCGAACTAAATCCAAAAGGATAATAGTTCCAAGGCTTTACAAAGTCAATTGAGGAAAAATAATTCTACTAAATCCAAATTTTATAAATTAAGAATCATTCATCCATTCAAATTCAATAGAAAATATAATCACCAAAGAAATCGATAACTACAGAATCAAACACCAAATTCTTCAATCAAAATCCAAAAGGAAAAAAAAATTAAACCCAAATATTTATATATTTCCCATAGTTCATGAAAATAATAAAAACAGAACCAAACATCTTTTGTAGTTTGGAAAGAAAAATAAATAAAAGTAGTAAAAAATGAAAAAGAAAGTACTAAACTCACATTGAAGACGGTAAAAGCGATCTCCCAAGGGTGAAACACATTCTCCTTCTGAGGCGATAAAGTACACAGACTCTGAAACTCCTCATCCCATTCAACGACCCCGTTTTCTTCACCGGCAAACTCCACTTCTTTCGTGAAATTCCTCTTCACCGTCCGCCTTAACGAACTAAACGCAAATTTAGGACCTTTCCATCGAATCTCGACGGTTAATTTGTCAGACTTGTTTTCCTTGTCTTCTCCTCCACTCTCCCGCACCAGATCCCACCCTTCCATCCTTCGAACCACTAGCCTTACCTCGTACTTCCGAGGACCCAACAGCGGCCATGGCCGCCATCTCATCATCTTTACCACCATGCCTCAAAATCTTCAAATAAACAAAAAAATGCACAAATTACTAACCTCAAAATCTCCGAATCCTAAATAATTCCAAAAATCTCCAAAATTGGAGTTTTTTTTCGTCTATCTCAGTCCACTTGACACAGGCTAATGAAGAATGAAAAACCCAAATCAAAACCAAAAACAAAATCAGTAATTCACCGCTTGTTTCTCGGGATTTTAGAGAGAGTATGCCGTTATCTGTGGAATGTATTTTTAAAGAAATAAATGAGCTATACTCTGAGAGAGAGAGCGAGAGAAAAAATAGAAGGGAGGGTCTTTATCTAGGAGACAAAAGACTACAGTGCGCGATATGGGGTTAGAGAAAACTAAAAAGAAAGTTAAGAAGTTAACTAGGGTTAAAAGGTAACCGGGGTGGTGGTGGTGGAGGTGGTGGCCGTGGCTGTGGCAGTGGTTGCGGTGGCAGAGAGAGAGAGAGTAGGGTTTGAGTTTGAAGGTATTCCGAATGTAACGGCGTATCCAACAGCTACTTAGTTGACTTTGATTTTAGTCTTTATTTTATCCATTTCCTATTGTTGGATGATTTATTTTTTTATTTTTGGAATTGGACGGATAAACAAAATATTAGGATTTTAGGATCATATTAGGGAGTTAAATTTTGAAATTTTAGAAAGATTTTTATGATTCTTTCCTTAGAAGCACAATCACTTACCAGAATTTAAAATTTTACAAAAATCGCTTTCCGAAATAAAATTAATTTTAGAAAAATTGAATTATTATTTGTTGGATAAAAAAACAAATTTTACTGTAGAACAATATGAAAATAATATGTTGGATAATATATTACATTAATAATCTTAGCTTAAATAATTTCTTTTAATAAAAATACTTGCATTTTATAAATTACTCAAATCATAATGAAGATCATCAATAAAAAATGATAAATAATTTATACTACCTCAGTCTCATTTTGTTTGTTTGTTATTATTTTTTAAATGCCCTAAAATGTTTGTAAGGTTTCTAAATTTATACGTGTAAACAATCATTTTTCTTATAATAACATTTATGATCTTTCGCTAAATAAATGACTTTTATTAATATTTTAATAAATTAATAGTAAAAAATGGTAAAATAATTTTTATTGACTAAATTCTTAATATGCGTGTTTTATCAAACCATGCAAATAAAATGGAACAGAGGAAATATTTACTTAAGTTATAATAAGAAAATTGTAAATAAATATAAATAATATGTAAAATTCTCATATTAACTAAAAATGTCAAAATCTTAAAGGAAAACAATTTAAAAATTGTTTTCAAAATTTTAGTTAAATTTTGAAAAATTAAAAAATTATTTTCTAATTTTTCAAGTAGAAATCTGACTTATTTGAATACAAAACTTTATTTCTCAGTTTTCTTGAAAATTTTTTCTAAAGAACTACTCTAATTTTCTATAAATAAACACACCCTAAAAAGAAAAATATTCTAGAAAACTATTCCGGCTTTCAAAAAATAAAATGCTTCAAAGTGATATTTATGTCTGGTTGAAGCACTAAATCTTTTTTTTTTTTTTTAAATCAGTAAAATGAACAGGGGTGAGTATTCTAAACAGAATTAGTTCCATCTCAAGGGGTGAGAATCCTAAACAGATTTAGTTCCATTTCGATCTATCTAAATATACTTTTACGGTCATTGAATTTTGAACCAAATAATATAAAAATTGATCCAAACTGAATTAATTTAATTAGATTTGGTTTGATTTAGATTCAGTTATTTCAAATTAAATTAGATATTTTAAACTTAAAAATAAATATGATTAATTATATATATTAACCGATCAAAATTGAGAACCAAACAATTTTAGGTATCTAAACTAATTGGTAGTCAAAATTTTAAAATAATTATTCAAATTCGACTGAAATGAACTAATTTGATTTAATTATTGACTAGATACAGAGAATTGTCATTTATTGCTCCCCTTGTCTCAAAAAGATATTTCATCTTTTTTTTTCAGTTTGATCCAAAATATAGTCTATTTTTCCTTTTGCATTATAATTTATCTTTAAATTGTATATTACACCTTTATTAAATTTTATTTTATTTCCAATAACCCTCATTAATTCTTATTTATTATTCCAATATAATAATTATTGTATTATTTAAGATGAACATAATAGAAAAGTTATATGAATAAATGTCTTTTTAACTATAATAATCGATATTTTTTAATTTGTATGAAATAGAAAGTGGATTGAGACGGATGAAGTATTAGTATGGAAGAAAACTTTAATATAATTAAGCATAGACCATTGTGCCTCCAAACATCTAAACCTAAATCAACAGTATTGTTAAATAAAAAAAATTAAGTAAAACAGTAACATTAATGTGAAACCAAACCAAATCAACATCTAATGCTCCTCTTAGCCAAACCAACAGCAAAAGCTCTAGTCTTTGGACTATTAACATCTAGCCATTGGTCATTTTCAACCACTCATTAAAATTAACAATTAATCCAAATAAATCCTCAACTTTTTTTTTATTCAATAAAATTTAGTAGAGAGTTGTTATAATGTGAAATTGATTTTCTAAATTATAATAAAAAATAATTACTAGTATTTCATAATTTCAAAAATTGCATTGGTTAACTTCGAAGTATGTAATCAATCCATTTGACATCATTTAATGAAAAGAAAGAAAGTAAGACAGAAATAGTAAATAGTAAATGGTAATGATGACGAATGGGATTAAAAAGTGAAAGTGACAAATGGTGAGGGTTAGGTTTGTTGGAAACATAACAAAAAGGGTATTTTTGACAAATGCTATTTGCTTAGTTAGACTTGAGTATAGTATTTTTCATAATGACCTGGACAAGATTTTGTTTGGTAAATGACAAAATTAAAGTTTTTATCTTCTGCTTAACGCAAATTCTTTGTTTGGTAATTATTTTTATTCAAGGATCATGTTAATTCCCAATTTGTTAAATGAATTTATTATTATTTTTATTTTAAAATATGCTTATATTATTCTTCAAATTATTATTAATTATAGGCAAATAAGATTTGATAATGTTATTTTTGCAAATGAATATTACTTATAGTTTATTTATTTATTGGAGACTAAATGAATTGAAATAGTGGCATATTAGTAAATATTTGTATTTTTAAAAATAATTTATTAAGCCATTGCACGCAGAGTATGTGGTTTTTGTCAAATTAATATATTTGTGTAGTTTTAACATTAATATTAATATTAATATTTTGTTGACCAATTTTGAGAAAAAGTCAACAGTATTAATTATTCTGGAAGGAAGAAAAAAAGCTGAATTCTTTGAATCTACTTCAAGAAATCTTAATGTTGTTATGGATAAAAATTGGCTATTAATAGTGTTTAATGATTCCTAATTTCAGCCATCATAACTTATTTGGTGAACAAATTATTTTATTTTTGCCTTTATTTTTTAAATTTTTCGTGTTATTTTTGCCCATTCTACTAAATTTAGTTGAATTTTATATTCTACTCATGCATTTGTCACCAACCATCAAAAACTTCATGTTGTTGGCTGTATTATGTGTAAGTATCTATTATAGTCGTGTTTAACTATAAATTTTTAATTAATTTTTAGTATTTTGACCGGTCAAAATTTTGATATTGTTTGATAATATAATGTTTTAAATAGTTGTTAGAAATTAGAATAACGTTTTATGAAATAATGTGTAATTTTTAGCGTTTTATAAAAAGCTACTAAAATAACTATTAAAACAAACAATTAATTTTACAATCCTGTATTAGGGTGTTAGGATTTCTTTTTAATTAGTATTAATTATTACCTATTAGGCTTATATTTGTTTTTAATGGTTACAACTCAATATTCATCTTTAACCAGTTATTAACCAAATAATTAGAAGAGGGAAGTAAAAAAAATTAAAAAACAGATTGCAACTTTTTTTTTTTTTTTTTTTTTTTTTTTTTTTTTTTTTTGTCATTAGTTATTATATATAATAATTATTATACACTCTTCACTATTTACAGTAGTTATAACAGTCTCAACTCATCAAGGGCCGTAAAATCCATTATCAAGCCCGTTAAAAAGCATTACAACCGATAAAGGGAATAATACAAATTATATTTAAATCATTACATAGATAAGAATTGAACCTGAGACCTCTAAAAACATCTTTAAATTTATGTCATATCTTAATTCAGCGTTGTTCTAGTTTAAAGTTAAAAGTTAGATTCTTATTTTTTAGAAAAAAATCAAATTAAAAATTTCATTAAGATGAAACCATATGCATAAATGGATTATTAAGTCAATTTCATCGTCATTTTCATTTCTACCAGTAATGAGAGGGATTAATCACAAAAAGAACTGATTAAAAAGTCAGCTGGTCCACTTAAATTAAATTTGTTCCCACATACAAATTCAGAAAGAGAATGACTTGCTGGTAACGGGCCTTTGACTTGCACGTGCACCACATGTGAATCGTGTTGTATCCTGTGGATATTTTTGCTTCAAAAGTTGGGTAGGGATCGCTCATATAATAGGAGAAGATAAACCTCCTTTTGGGCAATTCCTTGTGTGAACATCATAAAGAGCTTAACACCCCATATGGGACTTAAGACTATTCCATTACCCAAGTTTTTCTTCATTACCAAACAATTTCCATGACAGCTTTTTTTGTTTTTCAGCTTTTGTAAGAAATTTGTTTTCCAAGGGTTGCCAAATAATGATTTCTTTCTATGTATAAATTATTTCGTGTTTGATACCAATAATTTATGTTTTGATCAAATTAGGAAAGTGATTACTAAATGAGAAAATAATTCAAGTAAATAATATTCAGATCTGATATGAAAATCAAATTAACCTATTTAGTGAATTTTTTTAAAGTTTGATTACTGATGTGATAACTATATCTAATTAACCGAATTAATTTTTTAGTCCGAAACAGGTGATTTAGTTCAAAATATATGATTAAATCAAATCCATATTCATTTTTGTAATATTGGATTATCATGAAATTGCATTGAGTCAAACCCGCCGTTGGCTCCTAACCTTTTTATGGAGGACTAAATCATCATCATTGTTCCTTTTTTTTTTTTTTTTTTTTTTTATCATTGTTCCTTTTTTTTTTTTTTTTTTTTTTTTTTTTTTTTTGAGGGGAGACATTAGTTAGGTTGAGTTTCTGGGCATTACCTAACTTATTTATTTTACCATAAGCCAAATAAATAATTTAATATCTTTTTTTTACTATAAAGTTTAGTTTCTTTTTTATATTGTAAGAAAATTGTGTTTCATGAAAAAATCAATTTTGAGCAGTGAGAAACAAACAATTTGACCATTAAATTGTTAGTGCATGACGTGAATATCAACCTATTTGCTTCCAAAATAGTAATAAAGTTTCAAGAAACAAGACAACTGCTCGTTGGATTGGACCTAATGATAAAAACATAAATGACATGTTCTACCAATCTTTTTTACTTAAAAATCGATGTCATTCGAAGAATTTATAATTACAGAAAAGAAAAATAA